TAGTTAAATTTTGAAAACATGGCAAATAAAAAATATTGTAGCAAAAGATTGGTCTAGTATCATGTCTTTATGTCAAACATCATGAATCGTTGCCCATATGCTTCGGATATAGGATCGATTGCATGTGCTATAATATTCATTTTTCTAAATTTTCCAAATGCTTAAGGCATTGAGAAGGGAAAAGTCTAGAACTGGATATGACTAAAGTGATTAAGCAATTGTCGAGGACAATCTGAGGTTCGCCAAAGATTGGTTGTTCAGGGAAAGTTGGAAGTATGATGTAAGTTGTCGGAAAGAACCGTATTGACATGTTCTGAAAAGAAGTAACTCTTGTTCGGAAGTGATAGTCAAAATGGGACTATGGAAATGTCTCCATAGGTGGAAGTTATTCAATCTATGTAAGATTAGAAAACCTTAATGCAAGAAGGATGTTCAAAGCAATGTACTTTGAATATGAGACTTCTGTTCCATAGAAGTTGACCTTCTTTGGAATACTCTATAATGATTGGTGACAAGGTTTTGGTGACTTTGTGAATAATCATTAAAAGAGGAACATTGTATAAAAGTTCAAAATCTAACAGATTTTTTGGTAAATGATAGGAATCGGGGATTCTCACATTCACAATAAGGATTTGGGATTGTGAAATGAGTATCATTGGAATCATGTTCAATTGATCTACATCACAATGTAAGGATCATAGACAAACATAGTGTGCATACTTGGAGTATGGCATAACTACTGTTTAGAAAAACAAAGTGTACATGCTAGGAGCATGGGACGACTATTGGTTTTTTTTATTCAAGTCTTAAGTTGATTGTTTGAAACATTATACAATGAATAATGTGTAATTAATATGGTGATAAATAAAAGGTGGTTCTATTTATATTCAAAAGGGTTTTTGAGACCATATTGGATTCGATTATTATTGTGTTTCACTTTGCATGTTTTGACTTCCAAAATAGCTAGGTTATTCTTTCCGAATGACTAAGTTATTTAAACACTCCACATTCATTCATATGTTGGAAGTAGGTATGAATCAAGACTGTCATGAATCGAGTTTGTAGATGGCTAAATGGGTTTAGTCATAACAATGGTTGCTACAACATTCATGAGTGCTCATAAGTTATGAGTATTGGAATAAACCCATGCTCACTTGTATCACTTCATGGAATTTATCTCGAGTGATCGTGAGACGGTAATATCATATAAATCTTCAAACCTAGAGATATGAGTTGTTACCTATGAATTGGTTGTGCATTGATTGCACGTAAACGCATCAGTAACTTGATGTTATAAAACGTGCCTTTGTGTACAATTCAACAAGTAGTAGAACAAGTATATGAGTCGAAGTTTATATGTTCCTTCTAGAAATAGAAGCGATATCTGGGCCCCTCGATGATTTTGTTATGACCTATGTACAGACCAGTCAGAACTAAATTGATGTGTTCGATTAAGTTCTTTGTCAAAAAAATCGAAAATCGGGAAACAAACTGCTGGACAATAAGTACGACGTTGTTCCATGTATTTGTCCGGCTGATATCATGAGAACAGAGGATTATATGATCACTTATCTAAAATGGCGTTTCTTAGTTCAACAGAGTTTTCGAGAGCTACGATTGCTGGTTGGTTCTTGAAGTAACATACGCAAATACAGTTATTAGACTTATCCAAGTGGGAGTCTGTTGGATAAGGTGTCTAAGTCCATAACTTATTTGGTATATACTTGATCCGACCCGGCGTGGTCCATTTGGGTTGCATTTCATCCAAACTATTTATGGATAATTTTATAAGAGTTATACACATATGATTATTAATATATTATAAGTTATAATATATTAATATGAAGTCATGTTATTTAATTAGTCTTAGTCTTAAATTAATTATGAATTAATTTAGAGATTAAAAGGAAGACTAATTAGATTGTGGGCTATTGGTTTTATATGGTGTGGGCTAACACTCATTTGTTAATGGGCTAGGCTTGTATGGAAGTCCATGGATGATCCATGGATCTTTTAACCTATGGATCCTTGGAAAAGGAAAGGTCATGGGTTATTAGGGTTTCACCCTAATCATGTACACTATATAAGCATGCTTATGTTGCATGAAATAGCCACTAGTGTCACTAGTATGTGTGTTTGTGTGTGGCCGATTTTATAGTGTGTATACACTCTCTCAAAGTTTTCCAAGAGTTTGTGGTGATTTGTGATTCCATTTGAGGCATTCACACTATTGGTGCTTGGCCCTCAAACTCCTTAGGAATCAAACTCATCATCAAAAGGTATGTAATCTCATCTAATTCTTTTATGCTTAAAAGTACCCATGCCATGTTAGATAGGTTATGAACCTTGGAAAAATTATTATTTTGCATATATTTAGACAAACATAGATCCAAGGTTTATTAGGGTTGCATGCACACTTAGGAAGTGTTAGATTGCTCAAAACCCAACAAATTGCTTCCCTAAGGATCCTGGCGCGGGTTAACTTGGTCATTTCCGCGTTAATTGCCTTTTTTTGGATCCCCTTCCTGGACGCGTCTCTTTTGTTTTACCTCTTTGGCCCTTGGCTTTATTATCAGCTTGTGTTTTATAATCCTTCGGTCGACCCCCACTATGTGTGTGGGTGTCCAGGCGAACACGTGTTTGTATTTTTGGAGCAATCAGATCAATACTTGCCTTGTTTCCGTGGGAAGGGCAGTTCCTACGTTTACTTGTTGGCTTGGATATTCCCTGTTGATTACCCCCCCTCCGGGCATGATGAATCCGACTTTGGCCTCGGTTGAAATGTCCTTTGGCTACATAATCTCATAGCATTTGAGCTCCTTTAGGTGTAGCACCCGATTCCTGGTACACACTTAATTCAAAGTATATTTTTTTATGTTTATGTTTTTCTCTGGGACTCGACAAGTTGGAGGCCCAACTCGTCGAGTAGAGTCGGGATCCACGGGCATTTTAAGTGACCTACTCGACGAGTCGGTAGACTGACTCGGCGAGTAGGTACTGTTTGAGTAAAGCGCTAATCTAAGGGATTACACCCTATTTAAGCATTTCATTCAGCCTCCCGTTGTCCCTATTGCTCTCAGAACTCTCCATATCAAACCCTAATCGTTTGTGTAAATATCTAAGGCCTTTTTGGTGGTTTTTGGTGATTTTGGAACATAAGAAGGAAGATAAAGGCTTGAGGAATCAAGAGGAGGCCAGAGGAGTTCGAGTTTGTGCACCCTCTGTAGTTCTTTAGAGGTATAATGTTGATACCTTGCTCTTTTATATTTTACATCCCTTTCGGGGGTAATTTAGGGCTTTTAGTAGCCATTCTTGGTGACCAATCATGAGTGCAAGCGTGGTTGGGGGCTAAGACTTCAGATCCAAGGTCTTTAAGGGGTTACAAGGCAGAAAGGGACTGATTTTGGAGCCTTAGAGAGCCCCATGCATCTTAAGAGTCTCATTTAGGGCCATTTGAGCTCATAGTCCCATGCATGCATGTAAAGTTTGTAACTTTACGTGCTAGATCAATCTTAGAATCCTAGATCTATCTTTTGGTCAAGTGTTGTACATCATAAATCGAGAAATGAGACTTGGTCACTCTCGACTCTGCGAGTCGTTCTTGGGACTCGGCGAGTCCATGGCTTGACTTCCCTTTACTGTTATGGTTCGAAGGAACCCAGTGAGCGTTAGAGTGGTCTTGGAGGGGTTCGGGAGAGTGACCCAATGCATTGGACATAGCCATAGAGCTGGAGATCATAGGACTCGACGAGTGTATGAGAAGACTCGGCAAGTCCAAGGAAATCTCCCAACTTTTGAAGATGAAGTTGTTCATACAACTCGACGAGTCAAGGGCAGGACTTGTTCCTAGGATGGAGATGAACTCGACGAGTTGTTCATACAACTCGGCGAGTCGGATGAAGGTTCATTCGGGGTTGTTTTAGAAGGAGAAATTGTCGAGTCGTTGCCAAACTCGATGAGCAGAAGCGTGAAGAAGGACATATGAAAGGATAGGGACTCAACGAGTTGGCGACCCAACTCGGCGAGTCGGGTCAACTGGAAGTTGAATTTGACTTTGACTTGTTTAGGGGTAAAACAGTCATCTTTTCCCTAAGAGTAGTTATCAGTGTCTGATTAAGTGTTTTATGGATTTATAGTCGGAGGATCACCGGAGCAACAGTCAGACATCTGCCGATCAACTTTTCAGCAGTCAGCCTTACGAGATGAGTTACCTTCCGGTAGCGGTGGGTCTACGGTCACAATGCCGACCCACCAGTAAGATTTGTATGTTAGATGATTGTATTTGTGATATTCATCTAGGTTGCTAGTACCTGCTATGTTAATTGCTAGCATGATATGTTATACGCAATATTAGTAGAGTTCGGTTGTTAGGACCGAAAGGTAGGTCGGACACCCAAGATATGTCCGATAATATGTTATGATATTCTTATATGCTGGCATGATGTGTTATACGTGATAGTGGTAGTAGGAGGGGAATAGTCCCCAAGTTCGGTTGATATGACCGAAGGATGGTTCAGACACCCCATATATGTCTGATAGTATGTTTATGTTATGATATAAGTGATAGTAGCAATAGAGGGTGGAATAGTCCCCGATGTTCGGTTGTAGGACCGAAGGGTAGGTCAGCACCTAGAATGGCTTGACGCGGGTAGGTCGGCACCCCAGAATGGCCGTACCGGGTAGGTCGGGCACCCCAGAATTGCCCGACAGTATGTATGCTATATGCTTGTATGGTATGTGGTAAGATGGGGGAACTCACTAAGCTTCGTGTTTACAGTTTTCAGTTTTGTTTCAAGTAGTTGCACGTCATACACACATGGGATTCCACCTTATGAGATTTGTTGCGATTGTACTCTGACACTGTTACTACTTTTATGATATGATTTTCAGACATGAGATTATGGTTTTATGAAATGATATGACACAATGATGTTTTATGACAAATGTTTTCTAAATCGTTATATTAAAATTGAAAATTTTAGACTCGGAAATTGGGGATGTTAAATTGGGGGAGTGGCTAGGATTGTCCCCAGGCCTTGGTTCGTGATAAACTTTACTATTCCATGAATCGTTGATGAGATTGCTCTAGATTTCAGTAGGGCGGTTCGCCCCAGTATGACATTGTGTTCGGATGGGTGTCGTATGACTACAAAATCTACAAGGGTTGTCCGTCGCCTGGTCTTGTCTTGACCAGTGAGTGTCAACGGTAAGTGGATTATACCTAGGGGCCACAAACTGTTCCCTGTGAATCGCGTGAGTTGGCCTGCGGCTGGTCTTAATCCCTCCTTCCATGCGTCGGCAGCAATCGAAAACAATGCTCGTAGATGATGTCTGCAGAGCTCCTAGTGTCAATGTACACCAGGTGGATCATGGTGTCTCGGATGGAGCCCTAAATGACGAGAGGGTAGTCTCATTTCCACCTAGCTAGGCGTGGGTCAGTTGTAGAGAAAGTTAGCCCTTTCCTGGTTTCTGTGCTTCTTTGTATGCTGGTTGTGCATTCCACTCTCCCCTGCTTCTAGCAAATCATGAGGATTTCTTGCCGGTAGTCTGCTTTCCCATGCTTGTGGGGAATCATGAGGATTTCTCTCCCTCCCTTTGTTTTCACCATATAATGGAGTGATAATTGCCTTTGTACTTACAGAGCTGTATGAATTTGGTTAGAAGGAGGTATTGTAGCTGGCTAAAGTTGTAAATGCTACCGGGGAGCAACATTTTGAATCATGTCCCAACGTTTTCGTCTAGAATGGTAGGGAAGTACGTACACCAGAAGCGCTCGTCTAGCTTGTGAGATGTCATCGTTCACTCATATATGTCGAACTATCGATGTGGCTGTCCGGGTCCGTGGTGCCATCATACGTTTTGAGGTAAGGTAACTTGGTGGTGTTGGGAATCTTGTACTCCAGCAACTCTTTCACGAATGGTGATGTGACACTGCATGAGAGATAATCTTGGTTTGGAGTCCATTGAGCAAAATGGTATCCCGATTGTTGCATTGCCAGGAATGGCTGTACTAGTATGTTGTTGTAAGTTGTAAGGTCTGGTGGTGTTAGGCCATAGAAGTTCTGCGACTAGAATGGGGTGGAAAACGTGTGGGGAATGGGGAGTTGTTGGTATAGTGTGAATGGTGGTGTCGGCATGGCTCCTTTCACTAACGATGGGTAGCTTTGTGCTTGGAAGGTGACACCTGGGCCATTAGTGGAGTTGTTTTCCGGGGTTGCGGGCGTGTGCATGATTGGGGGCAATCCGTTTTGTGCTTGGAAGGTGACACCTGGTCCATTAGTGGCGTTGTTTGCCGGGGTTGCGGGCGTGTGCATGATTGCGGGCAATCCGTTAGTTGCCTGCGTCGTTAATGGTGGTGTTACGAGTGTCGTTTGTTATGGCTCGTTTGTGGTGTGAATGGGTGGTGGTATTAGATTGTAACTGGCGCTACTTGGTCCGCCAATGTTAGGAAAAAACAGTGGTAGAGGAGGCGGAATGAATGAGTTGGGTTCGCCGATGTTGGGGAACGACGACGGGGTTGTACTATTTAGAGTGGGTATTAGTATGTGGTTATGGGTTATGACGAAGGGCGTAACCGCTGTGAGAGCAGGTGACGGGCCACCAGATGATGGTGTCTCAGAAACCGCGCCCATCGTCTAAGTTGGTGGCATTATCGGGGTATTGGCCATTTCTAGTGAGACCATTGGTCGTATCGGACTTTGTGGTGTTTTCGATGACTCACCGACATCTTCGTTTGTCATTTGTTACTGGGTGAAAGAGAGAGATGGGTTTGTGTATCTGTTGTCACACAATTGGACGACACCAAATGATGCGACCTAGGCTCCGACCACCTAGAGGATCAATGCTGAGTTTGCAGCAGAGGAACCTGAGAGGTCACAAAAAGAGAAAGCCGTCAACCGTTCTCCGAGAGGAGGTCCCGGGTAAACGTTCCGACGGTCAAGTTAGTAGTGTATTGGAGAGTAAGGGCTGAGAATCAGGAGAGATATCTTAGCCTTCAAGGCGATGCGATGGTCCTTTTATACTGAGTATCCTCTTCGGTCCGTACGAGGAACAAGGATTGCGGTCTCGACAAGATCCGTTGTCTTTATTGGTGAGTCGTGTTCCTCGTCGTGTCAGGTCTAACGATTAGTCCATGCGATAATGCTCTGGATGTGCTCCTTGTCGCATGGAGCTGTTATCCTTGTCCTGTAGTGGAAGGTGCCCCTCGACGGGGGTGGACCTTCCATGTGGTCGTCCCGTCCGGACGCCCAACAGCTGGGGATCCGCCGAGCGGCCATGCAGGGGATATGTTGGGGCAGCCAGGCCGGGCTTAACCGGGCCTCGCTGGAGATCCCTTGCTGGGGAGTGCCTTTATTCTTGGCCCGCTCTAAGGGCATGTCATCACTAGGGTAAATGGAAAGAAAAAAAATAAGCGAAGACAAATTTGTAAAATGTTGGAACTATTGACGGAAAGTCTTGTTTTTCTGACTTTCTCTATTAATTCATTCCTATTGGTTATTAATTATGTTATTCTGTCTCCATTAAGTTTATGAAGTAAAAAAAAGAAGAGAAATCAAATATCTTTCTATTTTTCCTTTCTATCTACGTTTCTATATATTTAAAATTGTGACGAGTGTCAACTTTTATTTTTCAATAATATTTTAAAACGCTTCTCATAATTTTAAATGGGTTGGAAGAAAAAGTAGAAGGTTATTTAATTTATCGATAATAAACATTTAAAGTAACTCCAATTCTTTAATAATCATTTATTAAGTCATAGGCTCTAGGGGTTTCAGGTTATTCTAAAGTTCCCTAACAAGATAAACAATTAGCATGCCATAAATACGTTTTTCATTGACTAATCACGCCTTGACCATTACAAGATGGAATATTGTTTAGTTAAAAGATTGTTCTTATTCCTTAACCAAATACACAATTCTTCTCCTTTTGACCAAAAAGCAACTTTGGATGGAATCAAAGGATAATATTGTATAACATTATGGGTGTTTATGATATTAATATCTAATCACAACGTTATTACTTGCACAAGACAATTTCTAATTAAAGGTAGGGAGAACAATCACCGAGTTTTGACTTTTTAGGATGATTCTGTTTATACATAGATGTATTATCAATTAGATGATGAACCATAGCTAGAATCCTCTTTTTTCTCTACTTACGAAACTACAAGAATTGAAACTAAGACTAATGTCAATGAGATGACAATTGCATGGGACACATACATGCTACTTGCTATTGATCTCTCATTTATACCCTTTTCATCATCATCATCATGAAAAACAGCCATAGAAAGCTTGTTACGGGTTGTATGTGGAGAAACATTATTTTCTTGAATCACTAGCTTCCATATACTAATCTTCAATTGCATAGTGATGTAGGTGGGGTGTTGAATAGCAATTTGATTTGTTGATTAGGTGAAAATATTTCTGGCTTGAACTTATATGAAAATTTGATGATGTCTTATATCTCTTAATTTGTTGTTTATTGCTTGAATAAAAGTAGTGGGAACATAAACAGGAGGTTGAGAATGATAGGTGGATTCTACTTTTAATAGGAAATTGTGAAAAAAGCAAAAGTCACATTTTAGAAGATCATATATATCGTGTACCCTACCATCTTTACAGGACAACTTTCTTATTGAACAAGACTTGTTACCATTACATTAATCGAATTCCAGTGACTTATGATCTATCCATAAAGCAAGGTTTCCCACTTGAGTCATTACTTGTTGCTCTTCTTCTATCCCCAAAGTGTGAATTTTATTAGAAAGATTCAGATGACCAACTTAGGTTTAAAAGATTCTCAACAGTGTTGGGAGTTTTTTCAGACTATTCGGGATATGAATTCACACACGTAATAGCAAACACACAGTAATGAAAAGTAAAACACACAAAACACAGTATATGCTTGGTTAAGTGTAAGATTACCAAACTACCCCTTAAGGTCGACCATTTCTTTGCAATTGTAGCTAATTGTCTGATTTAGATTCTTCAACATGGCGGAAATCACTTTAGAAATTAAAATCTAAATATTCATTTATTCCAAGTTTTTTCTCAGGGTATGTCATATATTTGATTAATAATCAATCATTTTTATCAAACTATGAATAGAACCAATCGTGGGATTATTTTCTTGCAATAATTGCAAGGAAAAGTCCACATTGGAAATGAAACCTTAGTGATTGCCCATTAAAGTAGCGTTAAAAAGGCAATTTGTTTGGGGATGATTTTGAAGATTCAAATAATTGTAGAAAATAACGAGAAGGACAAGATATGTGTGGGCCATGGCCATTTCCTAATTCCTTAATTCAAGCTCAAGGTTACCTGTTGAAGTGAAAACAACACCTCCTTTAAAGTCGAGACCAATCACTAGGCTTGATATAGGGCTAAATTATTTCTTAATGTTGAAATTTCCTAGCAATGAATCAAACCCACATACATTTGTTGAAAGTTCCTGTTTCCTTTATATGAAAAAATAAGGCTAAAGTATTTCTTAATGTTTTTCTAACTTTTTATATATGAGCATTGGGATCTCAAGTTTGCATGATCAACTTTTAGTCTTACCAATTTACAATGAGCAATTTGTAAATCAACATGTAAATAATCAATCATCTTGGATTTTTCATTACCAGAAAAATTGACAAACTTGTTAATCTGATATACAAATGAAGTATCATAATACCTTATTACCTTACAACTTATATCATATCTTGTTCATATGAATTATTTCACTCTCACATGTTCTTCTTTCTCATCATTTGATTGATTAGGTTCTTCAGTCTACTCGTAAGTTTCAACAATAAACATTTTTTTTCTCATAATATACTCTTTAAGAGTTACCGAAAGTTTGTTAAATTTGGCACCTATATCGATCTTAACTCACCACCATCAAGATGATGAGTTGGTAATCACTTGAGATGTAAACATTATGGTCCAAAATGGAGTGGCAGGTTTGAATCCCACAAGATTTGATCTTGGGATGGACTACCTTTAAATCTTTAATAAAAAAAGTCAATCTTAACTCGTGCAAATTGTTGTTGTGTGTCCCACCATTTGAAACATTTGTCTTTGGCTGGATTGAAGTTGGCATTTGGCAATGCCCTTGTCCGGTAGGTTCTCATAGTCTTCTTTTTTTTTTTTTAAAAAAAAAAAAAAAAAAACATACGTAATGAAATAAATAACCAGATACGACGAGAATGCGAAACATAAAGAACAATTTTAGTTATTAAATTTTTTTTCCCAGAAGTCTTATATAAATGTAAATAACCTCAAAAGTCAAAACAATTTTAGTTCATAACGGTAAACAACCCTAATAACACACCAAAAGACTCCTAAGTGCACAGCATAAGGAACTATCATATCATAATAAGGAAACAAATGTGATAAGATCTATCTCTTCTATGATCAATTCGTCTGGAACAGGATGCCGATGTATTGTTTTTCAAATTTTGGAGTGGTTTCTATCATCAAATATGATCGTTAATAAATTGATATGTTAGTGAATCCTTCAATAAATTAAAGAGTGTTCTTTCATGAATACGAACTTATATCCCCACAGCTTGTCGAGTTTATAAGAAAATTAATGATATGTGGGAATAACATGTGAAAATGAAATATCAAAAATTGAGATATGTTTTAAGATGAGGTATGCTTTTTACAAGAAATCTTTTTGGATGCAGATATAAATCTGACAAGTCCGCATCTTTGGCTCATCTTCTTATGCCACATGTTCACACTTACATACGTACAAACACTTTCATGATTCAAAATCCTGTACAAACACATAGAACCTATAAATAATAATATGACACATATACATATTCTAAGACTGATTTGAGTCATGAATACGAGTTTCACATGTTTGTCTTCATAAGATTAAGATTAGGAGTATACTTTATGTTGCTACCATATACACATGATAGTTTTATTTACATTTTGGGTTGTTTAACTCGATTTTTTTAAATTCCCACCAGAATTCACTCATCAATAAACCTACATATCCGTAAAAAATCACATTATATATTTACAAATTGTTTAGTAAGCTATCAAGATTAGGTTAATGACATCATTAAAAACAATTTCATTATTCAGAATTTAGGATACATTTTAAAATTTTTTTTTTATTTAGAAAAGAATATATTTTATTACTCGGACTCGGAACAAAATCAACCCCCTTTACACTAACCATTTGACACATTATTCTCAAGAAAATGCAACAAGAATATGGTTCCAACAGCTTATGTCCTTTTATCGACATTTTGGTTCTTCATAAAATTCTAAGACATTAATTTGTTCATTGATTGGATATTTAACTT